TGTTCGATTCCCACACGAACCAATTTTTTTTTAATGCAGTTTATTTGATGGTGGATAATGAATAGCAAACCTGGTGGTTGTGTGTTCGATTCCCATACGAACCCAATTGCAATTTATATATTTTATATGAGAAGAATCTATGAATATTCACCACACGAGCCAGTTTTTTTTTTTTTTTTTGAGATAATGGGTTCAATCCCCACACGAGCCAGGTTTTCATTTTTTTTGTTTAATCTTCATTATTGGCTAGTATTTAAGGACGTACTGTGTATTTGGTACGATAACACAACACTCCTCACTCCTATATTTCTTGAGACAAACTTAGCTTTTTTAGTGGTTGTTATCTGGCTAGCTAAACTGGAGGAGGTTGTGGGTTCGATTCCCACACGAACCATGGCAAGAGTATATGTTGCCTTTATTGATTTAAAAAGAGCCTTTGATTCAATTGATCATCAGTTTCTTATATTTAAATTAAAGAAAGAAGGTTTAAAACAAAATATACTTAACATTATTATTTCAATGTATGACAAACTTTCTGCCAATGTAAAAATTGGAAGTATTATCAGTAATCAATTCAGATGTTTAATTGGTATTCAACAAGGGTCACCTCTATCCTCTTTTCTTTTTAATTTATTTATTAACAATTTTAAGTAAAATATTAAATTTATCGGAACGTACACATAAAATTCAAATTGGCGATTTTCTCATTAACCATTTACTTTATGCAGACGACCATGTTCTTATGAATAACATTGTTTTTGGTTTGCGATCTTCTTTAAACAAATTGGCTGTCTATTGTGATAAATGGGGTCTTACTGTTAATATTGAAAAAAGTAATGTTGTTGTTTTAAAAATGGGGGAAAATTTAAAAAAAAATAGAAAAATGGTATTATAAAGATGTTTTATTACAAGTAGTTAAATCTTACAATTATCTTGATGTAGTGTTTAATTCAAATGGCACATGGACGAATGCAATTAGTTATAACTGTACAAAAGCAAAGAAAGCTCTTTTTACTTTAAAATGATTAAATCATAACCAATTTGGCAACTTACCAATACATTTGTGGAACAAAATTTTGGATGTAAAAATAGTACCAATATTAATGTATAGCAATGAGATCTGGGGAATCAATGACATACAAATTATTGAAAAATTTCACTCTAGGTTTTGCAGATTCATTTTAGGAATAGGCAGCACAGCTCCAACTATTGCAGTTATGGGTGAATGCGGGAGATTTTCACTTTCTGTTGCTGGTATTTGAAATACTTTACGTTATTGGTTACGTTTAATTAATGCAGATAATAAACGTTGTATTTACAGTTGTTATAGATTCCAGTTAAGAAGATTACAGTCCAACGATAAATCTTGGTTGTACTTTATTAATAGCCTGGATGCAGTAGGAAATTAGCGGGAAAAAGTAAAGGAAAATTAATTTTTGGTTTGGTTGTACCATGGAGAAAATTTATTTTCTCCATGGTTGTACTTTATTAAAAGTAGCATAACATTTGGAAATAATGTAAATTTTTTTTAACAAATGGCAAAAAAAGTCTGAGAGGGCCATTTCCGAGCAGAGGCACCTATTTAATAATTTTCTCACTTACCTATGTCCTATAAAGACAATTAGGTAAGGGGGTGTGGCAGTGAATGTGTTTTTTAGCCAAATACGCTATTATTGAAAGCCGTAAGTACTGCATACCCGACTGTCGTGTATCTTAGTGTTAAAATATTAGTTAAATACACGGCAGTGGTGCATACATGTAGCCTGGAGAAGGAGGAAATAGTTAGATATGGGCTCCCTTCGCTAAGTCCCTACATTAGAATTTTCACTTAATAAGTAAGGAACCTGGTCTAATTTAAAATATTTTATTAACTATCCTCTTTACTTTTAAAGTATGTAGGTCTAGGCCCTAGGCCTAGGCCTATCTCGCACTGCACTACTAGGCCTAGCCTATCTATGCACATATGATAGATGCTACGGCCTAAAAGCCTGCCCCACCCAGCCTAGCCAGGCCTGTATTAGTCTGTGTGACTGAAGCTCTCTCCTAACTTATTTGGCTAGGCCTCTTGGTTCATGCAGAGCTGTAATGTAAACTTGGTGTACTGTGACACGTCAAAACAACCCAATTATTCAATTTAAGCAAGCCAGCAGTAGATTTGCAGGGCGGGATGGGGCCGGGAGGCAGTCGGGAAGAGCGAACCCTCCCACCCCACTTTTCCTGTCAATGTCCTGAATCACAATTCGTCGGGTAGAAAAAACATGTATTTTTTACATAATTTATGTCACGACCAAATAAAATCTACTTCCTAAAGCCATAAACGCCTTAAAAAGGAAGATTTCACCAAATCTTACCAATGTCTGCACTTGGGTTTTGGAGTCAGTTAGTTTTACTGCAAGAAACTGTAAAACTTAACGAGCCGTAAAAATAAACTATTGAGTTTGAGGGTGCTAATCCATGACATCTCCATTGAGTAACACTTTGAAAAACATGAGACACGTGTTTGCATTTGATTCTTCAGAAAATTATTACTTGGTAAGTTTTACTGGGCACAGTCCACTCGGTTAAAGCCATGGTTAAAGTAACTAACTGCTCGTCTTGGTAAGTCTCCTGGGCTCTGGGCTGTTTGCACTGGATTTTGGTAAACTAACCATTGTCAAATAGTTTTACCGAAAAAAGTCCGGTGGAATATTGTGTCTTACTTAGTTTTATAATAAGACTTAATGTAGCTCTTGGGGAAAGATTTACAGGAGGCATTTATTAAATAATATTCTTTAAACTTAATGTACTTTGTATGTTTTTTTCTAATTTACAATGTAGAACTGACAAAAAGATGATGACTTCAGAAGAGAGCAGCTTGTTCAACAATGCAGTTAATAAAATTACAAATGTGTACTGTTCTCGGAGATACCGAAGACTAATCCATGGTATGTGTGATGTATTTACGACTGTCATGGACAAAGATGAATTAAAAGCGAGAGAAAATTTTACATCTGAACAGACACAAACTCATTTACAAGTTCCAATTTATACCGGCAGTTTTTCAGAAGGCCTACAAAATAATAATGACATGGATGTAATGTATCAATACCCATATGCTTTGGATGCAAACATCATGTCTAGTGATATTTTGAAGAAAAATTACACTCTTATTGATGATGGTAGTATGGTGTTAGTAAAAAAAAGTGTAATAAATTATCAGTATGTTACAGAGAATGTGACAACCAGTACTTATCTACCAATTCCTAAACAAACAGAAACGAGTCCTACTGATTTAAACGCATTTGTTTTGATGGCGGATGACCATATGGTGGTTACTAAAGAAGTTGACATTCCTTGTCAATCTTTAACCAAAGATGACCACAAACAGTTGGTATTCCAAAAATCAAAATCTGACAAAAAACCTATAGTTTTAACACCAAAATTATTTTTAGTAACTGAATTTTCATATCCTGGGCATTGCTTTGTGTATCTGGAAACACAAACTGCTGACCGTTTGGTTTTATATGACATCAAACAAGCAACCCATCTCAAGGAACAGACTGATATACCAGTTCCTGTAACTCGGGTCCATGATTGGCCTGCTACGAAAACTACTGCAGAAGTATGTAATAATTTAACGTCTAAAGATACAGTAATTTGCCTTAAGTGTCCCATCTGGCCAGAAGGTGCAAATGGCTTCTTTACACGTCATCGTAAACATGACTGGCCAACATCGGAAACTTTAAAAGCTATAAAGGAAAAAGGACTTCCCCATTTGGTAAGCAAAGCACACCCATACAGTCATGGTGCCCAGGCCGATAAAGAATTTCGTATATCTACATCACTTGCTGGTAGGATGTTAGTAGAATCAATGAATGATGTACAATTCAAGACTTATTTCTTATGCAAAGAAATAAAACCTAAAGAGATTGAATATCAGGGCAGAGTATACAAAAACTTGATCACTTCCTACTTTATTAAGACAACTATCTTCTGGATGTGTGAAGAGAAGGAGAAGACATACTGGACTCAAAAAAATTTAGTACAGATTGTAGCAGATGTTTATAATAATTTAATTACATGTCTCAAGAACAAATCTTGTCCTAATTACTTCATACCAGAAAATCTCATGATGTCACACTTTTCAGAAAAAGAAGTAGAAGCTGGGCTATCGGCACTGGAAAACATAACAAAACATAAATTCTTCAAACTTCCTGAATCAGTTTTCCTCAACAAGCTACATTCACACCCAGGAATATTAAAAAAACTTGATGATATGCTTTCACATGAGCATGTGAGATACTTAGAAAGAATAGTAAAAACACTAAATGAGGAAGAAGATTTGTGGCAGACAGAACAGAACAAGATTTTAAAAGAAAGAATTTTCTTATTTATTTGGTATATGCCATTTTCACTTTTGGATGTTGTGTGTAGGAGACAACTAATGCAGTATCTTAAAGATGTGACAGTGTTTTTACATGAAGGTGTAAACGAAGACAAAGTAGTGGTTACAATCATACAGCGACTTCTAAATCGTATGCTTGGATATGCACACTTAATAACAGCAAAATCACTCTCAACATCTGAGTCTAAACATCATTTTCAACAGGCAGAAGATTTTCTGCTGAACACAAAGCTTCCAGATATACTGGATGAACCAGAAATCAGTGAAAAAGGACAACTGTTATTATTCTATTACCTTAGTGGCAACAGAGAAAAATGTTTGCATCTTTGCGAACATTTACAAGGCACTGGAATTATTGATACTATATACAGCTCACTCATGATACATGTGTGGCTAACAAGTCCTAACAGCGAGTATTTAGAAACCACGTTTTCATCAGATGAAACACTTCTTAAATGTCTTCGTTCTGGAAATATGTACATTTTCCCGACAGCTTTATTACATTACGTTAGTTACTGTCTTGACCTTAACAAAGACTTATCACTGAATTACCTAAAGAAGATAGTGGCCGAATTATTAAATCAATATACCAGCGGTTATGAGGATTCACATAGTAGGTTCTACTACTCTCTGGTCCTAAAGCTTAGATGTCGACATAATGATTTTAGTGAAAGTACCAGAAAAAACTTAGACAAAATGGATAGAATACTGAAATTAATCCCAGATGCCAACAAGTTCTAATCTAGAACGATAATTTATTTATTTATTTTACATATAAAATCCATGTTTCATGAATAATATAAATACAAAGAAAACCATTACTGTACTACTGTAAAATAAGTATTAGAAAATAGACCAGAACGATCCAGGCCTCCTTGGCAAAAATATAATAGGAGTTTACTGTATGTTATTTTGCTATTGGATGGCTGTACTTTAGTTCCCACAATTAAACATTAGTGCTAATCAGAGATTAGCTACTACTACTAGATTAGCTACTACTGTAGTATGAATTCTACTGATGGAACTGTAAATCGACATGTATGATAAGAAAGAAACTGAAATAAGACAATGTTTTAAATCCCCTGCAAAAATTAACTGAATTTTTAATACTTTGTTTAGCAAACTATTTTGTTAAAAGATAGTCAGCGGGCAGCCGAAAAAATATAGGAAATGGTTTTGCACAAGCAACTAGGTGGAGGAGAAAATAAAAATACAATTTTATTTATGAATGTAAACTGTAGTAATAATGCGATTGATAAATGCTTTAAATTTATATCATTAAAAGAAGAAATATAGACCTTATTTTAGAAGATTTTAAGTCCAGCAGTGGTGGCGGCAGAAATTTGCCCACGAAGCTTCGGTCGATGGCCTGGAATAAAAAAAAAATTCTGGTATGTTTCACTGAGTGGCAGGTGCAATAAAAATGTAAAAAGCAGATAGAAATTTCCATTTTTTTCATCAAAGTGACGTCTCCTGCCATCCATGTAAAACATTTTAGTTCCCAACCCATCTCTTCTAAGGCAAGGCATCCCATATATCACTGCCATTGCTCATGTATTGCCCAGTGTAATTGCTGGTTAAATGTGAAAAAATTAAACAAATGAACAATAATTATTTTTTTCCTTTTTATTATCTTCAGTGTTCAACACATAATGCTAGAAAATAGTCAAACCTTATACATACTTTCTGTCCTGGTTAAAAAAATATTTAGCAGCAATATGCATGGATAACTTCCCCCAATTAGTATTATCAAGGTGTAAGTATACTCGCTAGACTCGCACTTGTCATGACCCTTAAAATATATCTCTTCAATACAAAGAAGTCCTTCAAAATTGAAACTGTGTATGTACAGTATTTATATAAATTTACATTGGACATGTTCATGATCCTACTACACTACAATTTCTATTCACATTTGCTACCATACAACACTCATTGCATGCTACATTTGTACAGTATGTAGACTGTATGTGGAGTTCTTAGTAATTTAGAGTCAATTGCTGCTACATCAATTACAGAACACCGCAAGAAGCTAATTAATGAATAACTGCAAAATGCTGTATGCTACATTTAGAAAATGTAGTAACATGTGATGCACAGTGCATTTAATATATTATTGCTGCACATTCTTAGCACGGTAAGATGCTGTATACATTTAAGCTTGCCTAAGTCGACTTTGCCTAACTCAAACAATTTCTTAAGTCGATCTACCAAGTTGTGTTTCCACTTAATTAACCATCTGTAAAGCTTTGTCTTCACTATCAAATTTTATGTGACAAAAAAATGTGATGTTCCCATATATTGGTACGATGACGTCATATCACATACTATAAAATTGTACCAAAAAAAGTTGTTCCATCACCGTGGCATTTTATGTGACGTTTTTTTAATGAACTTTGATAGTATCCAAGTCGCACAATTTTTCAATGCCTTTTTGGATTTAACTGTATTTACTAACACTGCTCATACACTCTATGTTAGACACAGTGAATTCAGATGAGCACAGTAAAGAATAGTGCGCGGTTACAGCGATGCCAGTGGTTCCTGTATAGTAGTCAAGAAGAATCTTGTCTGCGGATAGAATGTCTACATTTTGCCTACATGCACTGCGGTTCTACAAAATGCTTCACGTAAGTACTGTACATTCATGATGGGCTAAAAATCCTACATTTCTTACAGTCTCATATTTTACTAATCCACATAAACAGCTACAATACATGATAGTATTAAATTTGTGGTCTTTGTCTTTTTCCAAACTTACATTTAGAAAAAAGGTCACAATACATTAACATAGAAATGAGCAGAATGGCACAAAAAATATATAATTTATAAACAAAAAGGGTATTTTTGATAGAAAATAACAGTTGTTTTAGTAAAATGATGTTAAAACAGTACTTGCAGATAATTTGGTATTTTATAATTTGAAATTCAGATGAGCTAATACTGTTAAACTTTAAATGGATATGGAATGCCCATGAGGATAACCTTGCAAATTTTAAATACAAAAGAGATTACAGATTCTAAATTTTAACAAGGTTGATTTTGCTACTATTGTTGCCCTTAAACATTGTTTTTTCCCAATTTACACTAAAATCATGTGATTTACTATTATTCATTGCTTATTACACAACACATTGAGAAAAGAGCATATCCTAATGCGAAAATCCAATTAACACTTAGGCCTCAAAGCTCAGTTGGTAATGTATCTGAACAGTAATCGGAAGGTCTTTGTTTTGAATCCCGATGGGGATGTATGTTTTTCTCAAGTATATATTATCACTAAAATCAATAACTGCCTATTTGGCCAAATCCTTCCTAACCAAACCACCTGCACCTTTGCATCAAAAAACATTCACCACAAGAGCTTCTGAACCTTTGGCTCTTACAAGCCTGGACAGTGCAACAGAAATTTCACTGTTTGGAAGAAACATTAGGTTTGGCTTATAAATCTTCATGTAACATTTCATGAAAATTAAATACAATAAATTATAGCATACTGTAAAAATAAATGTCATAAAGAAAAACAAAATAAGACATACAAGGTAGGAAAGTTATACTGCAGAAGATAGAAAACTGATTTTACTGATCCATAAAAAACAACTATTGCACTATTTAACCCTATTCATCACTAACCATCCAACTTTAAAATTTACAACATTATTTTATAATGTAACAAATACATCCCCATCTGTAGTTAAGCCAAATGTTCCTTAATTCACTTAAAGCAAACCTTTCCCATCTTGCATTTCAGGAGAAAAAGCCAAATTCTCATTTGAAGTTAACCTCTTTTTAATAAACTTGAAGCTAAACTTTTCTACATGCGAGGCTTCCTCCCATTTCAACCTTGGCACCTCTCTGGGTTACATTTTAACATGTAAAGAATATTCAATGCGGGCTCAAAATCTATTATGACAACAGCTCATGAGAATGCCACTTAAAATTGTTTATATTACTATCTATGCAATTCATGTGGTATATTCATCAGACCCATTACAACTAATGCCGCCAAAATTTTAAAAAAATTAAGCCTTTTGAAAAACAATTCCTCGCATTAATTAATTCCGGCACCTGCTGGCTAATCAGTCCGAGCTTCACACCTTCTGGAAATCCAGTTTATATAAGGAATGTGAAATAAATCCTGGTTGATCCGCTCTGTGTCAAGGGTATCAAAAACCGTTAGTGCAATCCTGTTATTAAAATGTAACATCTCCTGGGATTCCTTTAATAATCGAGAAGATAAAAATTGGGTCGCACAGCCTGGAAATTATGATGGGCAATTAGAGACTTTACAAAGACCGTGCACTTAACTTCTCATCATCCCATGGATAATTATGTTAACGTACAATGTTAACCTATTTTTTCGCCTAAATTTATTGATTAGTAAGGTTCTAAGCTGGATATTAAGTGCATCATAGGTTAGTGTACTGTAGTATGTTATATGATACCAGTATATAACATCAATAAAAAAAATTGGTATCCAAATAATTTAATGAGAACAGCATTTCTGTAGCCTCTACATAATTAACTAATTTTTATACTATTTTATAGATGGCTATCCACACCTAATTACCAATTAACCAATCATAGAAACAACAATTTTTTAGAATATAAATAAGTAAATATTAAATGAAAAAGAAATAGACAAAAGTTTGCTTTGTTCCTCTAGAGTAGTGTATTGTGTTGTTTCTATTTTAACTTATTTTAAAAGCAATATGATGAATTTGTTCTGATTTGAATAAAATTTTACAATTTTGTTCAATATTATGTAAAGGGTCTAATTACCTTTATTTAAAGGAGTTTGGAAATCATTAATTAATAAATTACAAATAATGAGTAAAAAGAGGACAAGACACACCCAAATTTCAGTTTTTTTATTTAATTTTCCTCACTTCTCAGGAGCCGTAAGTCTCCCACATGTCATGGGAATGCCCCACAAATTAGCAGTGTCTCCCCACTGGCACAAGCAAGCAAAAATCTCCCAGAAACTAACCATTTTCCCACAAATTCATGATTCATGATGATGTTTTACTATTGTCTCTCAGAAGTCAGAAGGCCAATGGTATCACCAGAATTAAACCAGATTTTCTTAAGTGCATTCTCCCAATTTTTGCCTCCTGCATTTCTTTCCACAAGTACTGATATCACGTTACCCCTGTATAAAAATTGCTTAACTAAATATAATAAATTCGTCGCTCACATCACAAACTAACACAACCAAAGTAGATTGTGTTAGTTCGTGAAATCACAGTAGCGCGTCAAAACGAGCGTGTTTTGGTTGTCAAGCAATTTTGTATTCTTTACCACACAAAAAGTCCTTAACAACAACAGCGCGTATTTTGACGCACTATCTTGATTTCAAGAACTAACACAATCTACTTTGATTGTGTTAGTTTGTGATGTGAGCAACGAATTGTTGAATTTTACCACAGTCGGAATGGGCCGTGATGTTGGTTCGCCACGCTGCCGATACCTTGCACTTCCTCTTGTTGTTTGGCAGTGTAAGCATGCCAGGGTGAATGACTTTGTGCTTTGTTGGGTTTCGTCATTGTCAGGCAGTAGTTGCCCTCGTTGGTCATTGTGTTTGCTATCTCATTGTGTTTGTAGTCTGTGGTGGTCCCTGTTGCTAGTGGGGTGAGGACTGTCTTTGTAGGGTGTACACTATTGCTTCCATGATTTGTGGTATACCTTCCAAATGGAGGGGTTGGTTCTCTTTTTCCTAAATTAAAATTATCTGAAAAATAATTAATGAATATGAATTGATGGCACCTGCTAGATTTGAATGGTTTTTGGTTTATATTCTCATTCCCTCTAAAAGCATCTGCCCTGTTTTATTATAAAACATGGCTATTTTAATGCAGATGGCTAGTTAGAAAAAAAAGAATTATTTATATAAAAGAGTAGATCATACAGTATTTATATTATAAATATGATCTACTGATTATAATTGCAACCACGTAAAGCTACCCCTTAATATAATAATGAAAAATGATGACAATGAAGATGATGGTACAGTAAGTATAGGTAATGATAATGGTAGTGATGGAAAGGATACCAATGATATTAAAATGATATGCATTTAACGATTGTGATGATGTGATAATTATGAGACAAAAATGGTAGGGCAGCATTGCCAATTCTCCCATAACTTGCTGGAGTCTCCCGGAAATCAGGACGATCTCCCGCAAGCAAGCAAGAATCCTCTTCTACAAATTCATACATGTAAAACCTTTTCTATTTTCAAAAAAAAAATAAATATTTTACATGTATGTATAAATTTGTGGGAGGTGGGTTATTTTCTGGGAGATTCTTGCTTGTTGCATGTTTCAATGCTTTGTTATCAATGATCTCATGGAAGACAGTGCTAATGGGTATCACTATGTGTAGCAAAATAACTTTAAATGTGTTAAGGAAGCTCATTAGGTAGATCAGTGACAGATTCAAGGGGAGGGGAACAGCCAGCCCAAGCACCCCCCCCCACCCCTAAAATTTTCAAAATTATAAAAAAGATGAGAAAAAAAAAATTATATTTAAATTTAAGTCTGAGAGTGCCATTTCCGGCCATCTTGAGGTGCCACATCGTAAATTTTCCTGGATCCACCACTGCAGATCTCCTAGAATTTTTCCAACTTGGAACACCTAGTGAGAGCAGTGTTAGTCATTATCATAATGATGGTGATGATGGCATTAAAAATGATGATGAAATTATGTTCTTCTGTCCATCAGAGACACTAACAATTTGTATCCACTACACCACTTACCAACTAGAGGGGCGCCTGTGATCGGTGAGTAAGCGTTCCTTTTTCCTGAATTCTTCCGAACATCACTTGAACTGAGGGCATCATTGCTTCCATAGCGACTGTACAAATTGGCTTGAGCGCCATAAGCTCTGGAAATATTGCTGAAATCAAAGGTAATTTTTGGAACTGATAAATGGTAATACACAAAATTGCTCTAGATTGTTCAATATTCTAAAAAAATCCATTCATCAGCAGAAGTTGCAAGAATGAATGGGGTATTAATGCATGTGCCATGGTGCATGCAAAATTATAGCTTAATTAATTTAGATCTCCCAGAAGTCGCTTCTCCTAATATGGGACCCTTGTACTTCTTCATCATACAGATAATAGATATGAAGACAACTGGCACCAGACCAGAGTTATGTCAATTTTTTTTCCAAGTCCTGATCTAATATTTGGATGTTTATATTACCTTTTATTTTCATTAGAGGAGGTGAGGTTCTTTTTTTTTAGTGTAACTTAGACAACGTATGATTTTCATGCAAATATGGCTTGAATTATGACTATTCAAAATATGATTATGAATATTTATGTTATTTTACATTTTGTACATTTATGTGTTATGTAGCATTACTTGTAACTTCATATTATTAGTTAAATGTTTAAAGAAACACATAATAATTTTAGCCACTGAACATAAATCATTGTTTGGCAGTAATTGACTGGGTAATCTGGTTGTCTAACAACACTTAATATTTACTGATGTTTTTTTTTATTGTAGAATTACTTTTAATATTATTAACAGAAAAGGTTTACAAGAACAACTGATATTATGCACACCCAAAATGTGTCTCAAGTTGTGCTACTCGCACTACGAAACGACCCTAACCTTCACGCAATTATTACTCTAGTTATAATCTACATACAAATTAAGTGCTAATTTTACTTTCTCTTTCTGATTCATGTTTTTTTTATAAGACCAATAAACATGGCCTCATAAATGATATCCTTTGTATGATTCTAGTTTGTAGCACTGTAAAATTATTAAATTGTTAATGTGAATGAACGGTGTGTCCATTGTTGTACTCATTAACAAATGAACAGTTAACTTCAGTTTGACAGAATTAACACAAAAAAAAACACATGTCAGGAGCCAGTATGATATTTGACCCAATGACCTTAGTAATGACCTTACCCTGGGGAATTTGATCTGATGTTAGAGGAAGGGTCCATAGCATGTATAGATCCAAATGACTGTGATCGTTTAATAGCAGGAAGAGCACTGCCACCTGGAGGCTCATCACTGAACAGATCGCTTTTCTTCCGGGCACTTCCAGCCGAGTGAGAGGTGTATCTTGCCGACCATTGGTTATTCCTTTGGGAAGATGTGTCCCGTTGCTTTCCACTTGCCCGACTGTTTGGTGCAAGAGGTGGTTTTGAATAGATAGAATATTTTCTCTCATAACTTGATTCTGGCTGACTGTTGAAGAATCCCTCAAAGATGACAAAGTTGTTGACCTAAAGAGGGAATAAAATTTGAAATATTTTGGTTTACAGTTTAACAAATTTGACTGATAGTTCTAGAACAAGATTCTATATGCTGCGACTAATTAAAAAAATTATTGCACTAAAAACATGATAAATGAACTGTACATGTTAAATTATTCTCTCATGAGTAGAAATATAGTTTTATGGTTTAGCTATATACTATCTGTACGTAATATATATTGCTACTTTGCAGGGGATGAAATCTTCCATGTGTATCTTTAGAAATGGCAGCTTAGTACATTATCTATTGAGGCATGGATACACATTTAATACTTTGACCCTATAATATAGGATAGGCCTAGCTCTAGATACTACAACAACTTTACCACAATCTCAAGTAACAGCTTCAATATTATTTGACAGAAATTTGTATTAATAACCATGCATGCATATCTCAACAATATGAGACGACACAGCAATACTAATAGGCCTCAGTAATGTAAATGTGCTATACAAACCTCAGTATTATTGAAAATCAAAATGTCTGAGCAATAACTTGATTCTCATTTAATGTTTGAGTCAGAGCAAATTTATTCTCACCTGAGATATATGTGCCCGTAGACTGTAATGTTTGATAAGGAACTGAGTAAACTTGTGAGATGGACGGTCTATAGCCAAATGCTGAGGTTTCACTTTTTCAACCTAAAATTAAAGCAATTTCCAAATAATAAGAGTTAAATAATCAATTTAATAGTTGCTTTGAGGTGGATGCAAGGAAAAGAAAAAGAATACAAGAATGAATGTTAACACTATTGCTATACACTACAAGGATCATTTATTTTTGTACACAGTCCACTCTGCCAATACCAACCCCCCTCCAGACCAGCTACAATGTTCAGTTTTCCATAAACTTTGGTACATTTGTATTGAACCCTTTCTGAACAAGCCTGTTAAAAAATCAAATCGTTCCATTATATCGCACCATTCCAACAATCGTTGCTCGTGGCACAGTGGACTAGATGTTGCACTTCTCCTCATGAGGGTCGCTTCATGTCCTCTGCAGCCGGTAAACCAGCGCACTTTCAACTGCCCATGACAGGAGCCGAGTGGACCAGTACACCGGAGTAACCCCTACTTGTCTCAAAATATGTACTGGGTTTTTTAAAGTACACATAAGCACTATAGGTTAAAATAGGCAAGCAAAGCCCAGTGGGTTTGTTAATGTTATGACTAGACTACACAACACAAAGTTATATAACATATTATTATTTAACACATAACACATTTAGTACCTGTTGTTTTGCTGTACTGCACAGCAAACTCAATTACCAATAAATTTGGTGCTTTTATATTGTTTTTACGTGCATATTCAGTCTACAACACATTCTTCATCGTCACAATGCTGGTCGGTTGTAAACAACAGCACTTTGAGCACTACTGCAGTCGATATGTGCTCACATGAAAATCCAAATTAAATCTGATTATTGCGTTATTTCGTCCAGAAATCATTGTTTATTAACTGTATGCTTGGTTTGTACAAGTTGATGTTTGTGTTCCAGACCAAATATGTTTAGAATTCGGAATTGGAAGAGATTTGGTTTTCAAAATGCCTTATATTAAGGAGCATTTGTGAAACTTTAAAACAAGTTTGGTTTTGCGTGAGAAACTAAGAAAAAAGATTTTCTTTCACAAAACTTACATTGAGCATATGTTGGAAGAGCTGTTTACCACACCCCCTCCGCTGGACAGATTCATGGACATAGAAGTCTAACACACACATTGGTTTCATTTCATGTTGTTTACTATAACGATCAAGTACAAATAGCTTCTTTCTGCCAATCTTCAATATACCTAAAACTGCTCCAAAACCCCTGAAAATACAAGTTATAAAATGCATGCGACAGATTTAAATAAATGCTGCACTTTTAAATGCCCCTTGAATAAATGCCTTGTCATACTTTAGAAATCTATACATTTTTAAGGTATCAATGCTCTGATTTTATATGTTCAAGTTCACAGTTCATTATTTCCCCCTGCATATTCGGTCAACATGCTTAAGAATACTCGGTTCTATAGTTGCACATGATTCATCTCAGAAACATGTAATCTAATCATGTATCACTATGCCTTCACTATACTGATCATCGTCTTCACTATACTATTATATTATTTCAGATTGGATAAATATTATATTACTGTTATTAGTATTAATATGTTCATGTTTATTATTAACCCTTTCATTTTTCTACACATTGATTACGATTTTGATTTTAACTTACTTATTAGCTGCTGGATCTTTCATAATGTATAAGTGATGGTCCGTGAACCTCATCTTAACTCCTAAAGTGATTGGACCGTGCAAACCTTGCGCCTGAAACAACAAATAGTAATAACTTCATAAGTACGGAATCAATACTTGTTTGAAAAATTAAAGACAATCATAATTACCATTTGAAGTGATTAAGAAAGCATTTGTACTGGGAATGGACTGTTCCATTATATTTTGTAGGTGAAGGACCTAATAACTACAAAGGTATTCTACCCGTAGTAATTTTTTTTTTTTTTTTTAATTTCTATATGTTATCCACTGTATGTTTCGTCAAATCTGTGGATGTGTTTGCTGCCGGATGCTATGTTAGTAACAGCAGTTTCTTTTCTTCTATTACAAAGTTGAATAAAAAATAAAACAAACTGAAAATACTCCTCGTGAGACCTACTCTCTTCTTACCTTAGCAGATGCCTTTCCCATTTCATCAATGACAGTTATTAGGTTTGATTGTAAATTCCCATGACTGTGTATAAAGCAAAAAGCATATTGACAAGTATAATGAAAGAAAGAAACATAGCGATTACTATGCAATTGATTCTAAGGTTTAGGTATTGCTTCCCTTTTCGAAGCCTCTCCTCTACCATGGACCTACTAATAGGTCCATGCCTCTACATGGAGAGAGGCTTCCAACAAGGGGCAGAGCTTTAGCAGAAGGGTTATGCCTACCAGACAGTATTGCCAATGCCACGATTTTTGGGATCCATCTTGTCAATAAAAACACTTAAGATGTGAGTGTAGGCAGTGGCGGCTCTAGGATATATTTTCTGGGGGGAGGGGCTGTCCGACAGGGGGACTTGAGCTTGTAGTAGGCCCAAGCTGGGGGAAGGGTTTGAGAGGAAGTTCCACCTCCAAAATGAGATTTAAGAACTCTCAGTCTCAGACTGTGACAGACATGTGTTGGCTTGGCGAGGGCCTATTTCTATATTTTTTTTTTTGTCTGACTGCCTGACGAGCTGTCCGATGGGGGTGGGGCCTTGACCTGTACTGTGGGGGGCCTTGACCTGTACTGTGGGGGGGCTTGACCTGTACTGTGGGGGACTTAAGCCCCTGGTTCCCTACCCCACCCCTCACCCGGCGCTGGCGGCGCCGTCACTAGGTGTTGGCGAGGCCTTGGTTGGCAGGTCCAGGTTCGAATCCTGATTGAAGGATACTTTTATACTGCGCAGGGGTATTGTTACACAAGTCTTAAAAATAAAACGTTGAACAATAAAAATAAACACCCAATCAGAATAATTAGCCTAGGATTTAAAGGAATAACTTTAGACCTAGGCCTACACTGGCCTACCTGTCTAAAAAACACATGAAGACGATTACTCTGCTGGCGTCATGTTGCCATGTAACAGGAAATGCTTAGAGCTGCCTACCACCAAACCATCTTTACTTACCCGTGTGTTTTGTATGGCATTAGGCGATTATCTATCATTGAAATCCTTTCTCCGAAGAGATAATTTATATTGAATGGAAATTCCATTGTATCCTAGTATGTCTATAGCATATATATGCAGAAAAACAGTATAAAACATAGGCCTAGGCCTTACAACAACAGCCTAGCTAAAGATTCCATGTCAACTACTCAATCAAGCAAGCAATAATTATGAGGCTTCACGCATGCGCACATTGATTTTGCGGTCGATTTTTGTCATTTCGTGCCTGTTTTTATATTTTGTTTTTGTACAAGATTAGTTTAAAATTTAGGCCTAGGCCTATATTGTGATGACATCTGTTATTCAATAAATTGATATTAACATTATAAAAAGAAGGCTTTTCTTGGCGACATGCTGGCACTCCAGCACGCATTTGTTCTTTGGGATCCACATGTAAACACACACCACTGTGACTTTAGCTATTTCTCATACAGCGGGAATTTAAAGATGGCCGCAGCAGAACGTTGGATGTTTTGATCGTCATCTCAGTAACTCCGCTGTAATTGCACTGTGAACACATTTAATTGGTATAAAACTTACTATAGCAATCAATTTGATCATGCCACGAAAAAAACCATTTAGTAATAAGCAAAAAAAGAAGCAGCTTCAAGAAAAGCGAGAAAGAAAGCGAGGCAATGAACCGCATCGTTATCCAGGTAGGTAGGCTGCTGGGCTTCAAAATGAAATCAACTGTTGGGCCTCTGCGGCGAGGTATCTGCCTGTTGTTGTCATTTTACTTGGCTTTTATAGGCTTAGTGCCTAGACCTAAGCTAGGTCTTTTTTCGGCGCAAATGCATTTTATTAACTCTTATCATACATTTTCTAGGGCCTAGGCCCTAGGTATTATTATTCTTTAATCTAAGGCCCAGGCCTACCGTACCGTACCATTGGCATACCATGCTACCTTTTCCTTACAGAATTCACGAAGTCTATGCATGCTGTTGATACAGGCCAAGGGCCTATGAACTACTGTAGGCCCCAGGTAGCCTAATCCATACTAGTGCTAGCCTGCTGTCCACCTTAATTTTTAAATAGGTGACTGGCTGGGATCAAAATTCACCCTTCTTAAACAGACTGTCAAAATTTTATGTTGAAAAGCAAATTAATTGATTTTAAAAGTGATCTTTCAATGTAACACTCAGAAAGCCTGTGCGTCAACATCATTGATAAACTTAAGAAAAAAATTTATTCAAAATTACTCAATTATTGGTACCAGAATTCTACAAATTAGCAGTTTTTTTAATATTTATATTTCTTTTGTGAAAATTCTGGAGACAATTGAATCGGGAGAGTTGGAATGTGTGGTAGTGGCGGTGCCAAAAATTTCCAGACAAGAAAGTCTACGGTTCCCAACAAGGGGTCCAAGTTCTCTGACAAGAGATAGAAGTTCCCTGTCAGAGTATGAGTAGAGGTATATGAAGACAAGGATGAAATTTTCTGGGGAAGTAGCATTAGTGACTACTACTTTATATTCCGATCATGTATTCAAACTCAAGAACTTCATTTGCTATCCTGTGATTTCCTAAACAAGTTACAGTACAGTATTTTCAAATACCAGGGAATAAAAACCAATTCAGTGTACAATTCCCTGAGCATGCACAGTTGAAATTCATGGAATACAAAATATAGAAATTAAAATTATTTATAATTATTTGATTGCAAATTAGGCCTATCATTTACATTGTTCAATATGAACAAATACACAACATTTAGAATGCAATGTATATTTTGATTTACTATTTGCAAATTAGTTTATTATAAATTTTTTTGTTGGATTAGGCCAGCCTCATCGTCCAAGACCACATCAGCCTCCAGACAGTAGTGAAGATATTGACTCTGGCTCGGACAGTAGTGAACAGAGAGAAGTACGATTATTAAATTTTCAGCCATTTCTATCAAGGCGTTTTCCTGATAAAAAATATGATCCCAACAGGTAATATTTTAATTATGCAATTAATTTATTGAATTATTATTTTTTGTAAGTTAAAGTGTTGCCATAAGGACACATAGAAAAAATTATTAGACTGTCACTCTTGTCTACGTCAAAAATTTAGGAAATATTGATGCGGGAATAAGGCCTGCATTTAGGCCAAATCAAAACAGTCCACCCCTCATCGATTGAAAAAAAGCAATATTCTATTGTTCTGATAAATTTAAAAAAAACAAAAAAACAAAAAAAAAATTTTTTTTCTGTCCCCTAAAATAAAGTATGAAGTACAGGAGAGTGATTTTTTTTCCTTCATATTGCTAAAAAGCAAAATTGATAATAATCGCACACAATTTTGTTAAAATATATTGGATCACTTCCCTTCACACCCACAGGAAAAACACTGTGCCTTCCGGACTGTCAATCAGACTTTAACAACTGACCTTAACTACAATAGGGAGCTTTCGATTTGTGCGATGACGTGCCGCTAGAACAGACTCACTCATGCGTGACTGTCCTACCTGGTGTCCTACGTTCTCTGCATATGTAAATTTAGCCAAATTGCGTTCCAGAATCTACTCTACGAGGTGACCTCAACGTTCTCACATGCGCAGATGACTTTTATTGACTTCATTGCGTTCTACGTTCTACCGCCGGCGTGCAATCGAAAGATCCCTAATATCCAAAGGGCGGGACTTATCAGAACGGTTCATTACTTATGGAAGGACGTTTTATAAACTAATTTAAGAAGGTTAATAGAGGATGAAGTTGTTTTTAGACTTCATTGTGAAATAAAATATGAAAATAGAGGTCTCGTCCCCCTTTAAAAATATAAACAACCATGTTTTGTTTTTTTTTATGCTTGTGTTTTTTTTTCATAGGTATAAGCTGCATTTTGAGAAGGAAACTAAACAGGAGTTAGCCCAGCAGAAAAAGCAAGGAATGCAGCCTTTTACTATGCGACCGGAGGTAAGAAATTCTACGTCTGCTTTTCAGTTTCTCTTTATTGTCATGTATTGTACGTACACAAGTGCATGAGATATTTTCACAGAAAACAGAGGTTTGTATGCATTACTATGTGCAAAATTAATAATATTAGGATCATCATATAATTGTGAAACTTACTCTACTACTACTGTACCTTATTTTAAACAGTAATGATGATAGTCTCTGTTAAATGTCATTATGCTTGACATTGGGTATAGGGTGCCACGCAAGTGTCGTCACAACACCAGGTCAAGCGGTCATTACGCCTGAATGACTTTGTAATCTTAATGGTTTAGAATAGGCTTTCTGGAATAGGCATTTTAAAACCTAATAATTTACCATCAAAATGTACTAAAAATTAAAATTTACAAAGTAAAATTAAGATACAACATCATAATACTTACGTTAGAAATTGGGATCAGTGGTTTGTCAGTGGAGACATGGATCTGGTTAAGCGCATTTTTGGTCGCTGACAGCAACTAGGAATGGTATCACATGGTATTGTGACATAACATAGTAGTACTCTATAATGATGGTGAATACATCATTGCATTATTTTCACACAAATTTTCCATTGCTTTCTGAATATAAAAAGAAACACCATTTGTATTTAAGTCTGACTAATTGCCTTGCTATCATCCATTTACTTATTTCCCACAAATTTTAAAGATTCAATACTAAGAGGCCAATGTCAGGATAAAGTGATAACTATTGCAATCAAGTTTTACCAATGACTCTAGACTGAGAAATCAATTATTTTCATCATTTTTAATATAAGAGTACAACATTTGTTTTTCTGCGACCCTCCTTCCTGAAAGAGTACTTAATATAATGATGATTTTGTCATTTTTAGCTATCCTTTGATAACCCATTCTCTGTTTAAGCACATGGGTTGTAATCTTCTGAAACTTATGGATAGTCAACAAAAGCTTAATATAAAGGCCATATGCATTGAATAGAATAAACAGTATAGAAATGTTTAACATGTACTGTAAATTGTTTACATATTTTGGTTTAATGTGTACATATTTTAACAATAACAATTTTCCATGGCCTTGTACAAGAGCACCTTAAAGGATACAATATTTATATTATCTATTTATTTGAAGGTTGGTTAATCAGTATTGTTTTACCTATTTTCTTAGGCCTTTGGTTCACACACATCTAGTACTGTAAGTAGCCACTGGGCTAAAATCGTATGGTTAATCTAGATATAAAACATGAATATTAGTTAAATATTAAAAGTGGATTTTCACAAAAAGTGGAAACATCACAAAAATATGGCCTTATGATATATAAAACATGTTATTTATATAATATTACTTCAAATATTTAATATATTAATTAATTATAAAATTAGTTTATTTTGCATATTATATTTGTATATTGAATTATTCATATTTATTATAATACATATATTTTTATTTATTTTAATTATATTATATTAAAAAAAAGTTTTATTTAACTTCATTTTAATATTTTAATATCATTTTTATAAATTATGTCACAGTAGGAAAGATATGTTCTGTTTACATACACTAATACCAAAGCACATATTAACAATTTGACTTAATATGTGTCTGTGCTTTACTGAAATAATATGGATTAAAGCCTTTATATCTAATTTCCCCATTGTCACCATACCATGATTAGCTAAAGCCTGGCTTTCATAATACTTTTGGCTGGATGAACAAATATAAGAGAAAAATCTACTCTGTGCTCAATTACACACAAGCAACACTTGCTCCGACACCGAGTTGATTAAACATGGATAAATTTTTAGCACATAGCTTCACTGTTAAGACTGTGTATTCAAATTTCTAATAAGAACTTGCATTTAAAGATATTACAGTATGCTGGCTTGCTATCACACAAACACTGCCGAAAGGCTCTTGTTAACTGTTGAAGATGATTACAGAAACCTTGCATCATGAATTGAAGCCATTTTCTGTGTTTTACGTATCAATAAAGATTATTGTTTAGTAGAATTTTGTAGGCATTGCTTTATCCAGGAATCGTGAGTGTTGAAGGAATTTTATGCTTTTACTGCAAAGCATAAATGAATAAACACCGTAATTGTTAAAATTCCTTCAATATCAGATGCTAAATCTTCAAATTTTTGTTTGATAATAATTAGTGCCGCAATTATATGTTTGTTAGTACAGTACATTACTGAATTTTAGGTTAAGTAACTCTCTCAATCGCTGTTTACATAATTTTCTTTTGCTAAGCTCTACTTGCGAATACAGGTACCTGTAGCGTTTATTGTGGCGTAAAGATATTGTGTAAACAGTTGATTTCCTAAAGATAATACAAAACTTACAATACAAAGTAGATCAAATAGACCTATGTATAACACATCATTTTATCACTCAATTAATTTGAAATAACACTGCTGTCAAATATGCTAATAAGTCCCCTCTGAATTCTAAAATTTTGCAAGTGTAGAGTAGGGCTTAATTATTTGGTCATTTATGACAATTCCATTAATTTCAGTTATTTTTGTTGTTGATTGTTGTTCTTGTTGTTTTCCATGCTATAATTCCTCGCTTATTGATATTAACACAATGTTTATGATTAAATTATTGATAGTACTGTACTACTAGAATTTTTATTATGGTAAATCACAAATTTAACACCATCTGATAGTGTGCCATAATTCCTATGCCATTCTGTTGACACTCTGTTGTTTACTGTCGGATTTGTCACATAGTGGTATTCTATCCAAACGATAAATACATGATGATGCAGGCATGCTGGGTATTTCGATGTTAGATACAACAAATCAGAATGCTGTTTTAAGTTAATATCGTAGCTGATTGGTCGTTGCTTTAGACCAAGGTAGCAAAAATTAATCTTTACTATGAGTCTCACTTTAAATGTTTTTTTTTTTTTTTTATTAATTTACTGATAGAATAAAGTAGATGTATAATTCTGTACCATTATCTTCAAAGGAAGGAATATTGTTCAGATATGAAGTACATAATTAATAATGATAATATGGTAATAATAATTCCGGATTTATATAGCACCTCATGTTGTCACAACCTTGAGGCGCTTAACAACAACATAGAGAAGAAAATAAACCATAAACTAATGTACGAATGTACAGTTAATTATTTATTCAATAAATTTTTTTGTATTAGATAATACAGGAGGAAATTTTAAATAGATCATAAAAACAGCATTATACAATAGCTTAACATAAATTTACTATAGAGAGGATACTGATAATTAAAATGTTAGCTACTGATACTAAATGTACCTATTAATATATAAAATTGTGTAATTGTATAGAATTACAGTATTTTGTGTATAAATCCAATAATTTTCTATAATTTCTTTAATGTTTAATCTCCTCGACTTTTCCATTTGTAGACTGAATTAGAAGTAAATATTGAAGATATCTACCGACCTGGATCGGTACTTGATATACCGAAAAGACCTCCATGGGACTATACGCTGTCAAAGGAACAAGTGGAGAAGCATGAGGAGCAGATGTTTCAGGAGTACCTGAGTAACATCAGTGCTAAGTATTCAGCTGGAGAGGTTAGCTATTTTGAGTGTAACCTGGAGGTGAGTAATGAATGTTTCCCTAAAAAATAATATGGGCTTTCAACAAACTTTTCCAGAGTATCAATCAAAATTAATAACTGACCAATTTAAACACGTTATTGAATAGTTGTGCACTAGGAATATGCACATGTCATATCTATCAGATTAATACAGAATTGTCTGATTTGAACCCAAGACCCCACTGGAAGATTGAGGATTTGAAGGGAGGGGGTTCAAACTTCTTCCAAAAAGAAAAGAAAAAAAAAATCCCTAAGATGCCCAGAAATGAGCTTTCTTGACTTTTAAGAGATCTTTTAATGACTTTTAAGTTCTTCAAAAATTCAAGGTTCCCCCTCTTCAAAAAGGTCATGTGATTTTATCTCAGAATAAGTATGCCTATCTAATATGTGTGTATAGGCTTGAATTTAGTCCCTGGTTATAATAAACAATGGTCAAACCAAAATAATGTTTTTTATTGTATTTAATTGAAGGCTAGGTAGTGTTTAGCATCAATGCTGTAGCCAGACAGTCCCACACAATATTTCTAATGGGTCCACAAAGAACGGATCCACATTTTTAAAATGGGTCCAAATTATGCAATTTTATGCATAAAATGAGTCCACTTTTTGAAAAATGATTCCAGATTTCTCATATTTAACCTAAAATGGGTAAAATTTTAAGAAAATGGGTCCAGATTTTTGCGTAAAATAGATCAACTTTTAAGAAAATGGGTCCACATTATTTTAATTTACGCATGAAGTTGGTCCACCCTGATATTTTCCCGCACTTTTTAAAAATCTTGGCTATGGCACTGTTTAGCATGCCGCTAGCAGGCTAGGATCCATGCAATACTGTACAGTGGCGGATAATGCAGAAATTAGAAATACCTGCAGAAGGGGCCCACAAATGGAGTGTGTAGACCACCATGTTCGAGGACTGGGGTAAGAAAATATGGCACTTGTAGTTGGCGGAAATGGCACTCTCAGACTTTGGATATTTGGATATAAAAGTACTTTAAGTGTCCCCCTACCCCCCTTCCCCTCGAATTTGCCAACTGCAGTACTTTTTTTTTTTTGCTCCATGACAGGGGGAGGTGGTTTCTGCTAAACCCACTGAGCCCCATGGAAATGCCACTGGGCCCTAATTATTCTGTTGCTCTACCAAGAAAATTTCTGCAGTTACTCGGTTTTCAGTCGAATTCTGATGTTTTAAACATTAAGTCACTCTGATTTTAAATTTTAAAAATTTGATTTTGCCACATTTACTGTATCATATTAAATATTTCTCAAATAATTTCTTGTACATTTGTTCTTAAACTTCCACTGTGATCTACCCTACAATAGGATTCAGGTGTTAACAATTGGAATTTTCAAACTGTCTGGCTAATACAATATAAGGTTACCGAATGCTGCTGATCATACTAGCAATTCTTGCAAGTTGACATTTTCCCACGTATTGTTTCTAACTTGATATCCGTCCAGGTACAGTACTTGACCCTAAAGAGACATGTTTGTAATTCAATGCATACTTAATCAACAAGTTGAAAATTATTTGCATAATGACTACATAAAAACTGTCACGTTTCATTTGGCTGACCTTTAACTACCTTGAAGTTGAGTGAATCATGCAGTCCCATGCAATGTTATTAGTAAATGAGTAACCAATATGGAGGCTAAGCTGATGAAAGAAGGACTTTACAGCCCTGGTTCTCAATATTTTTTACTGCCTGGAGTCCCAATTTTTAAACCATTCAAAGTGGCGTGGTCCTACAAGAGCCTTAGTTGGGGATGCTGCTGGCTCTAGAGTCAACAACCACCTCAGCCCCGCAGTGATTGAGTTGTGTCGAGAAAACTTTAATAATATTGCCCCTCCAGAATATAGGTGCCTAGAAATGGCAATCATATTTATAAAATGCTCCTGTCAAATTCAGTCTTTTAAAAAAATAGCTGGAAGGAAAATAGAATTAAAAATTTACCAATAATTTTTCATTTTACGTTATGTTACATTTTCTGTAAAAAAAATTAGAATAACAGAACGTTTATAATATGAATCTAAAAAGATTGATAAACATTCTTTTACTTCAGAATATTCCCATTAGCCTGAACTTCACATTTCGAAAGCAATTATCATGTACAATATTCTTAGTTGAAATAGACCAGTTAGAAAAACTTCAGAAGATGAAAAGTTTTGGCCGTTAATGTTTGGGAATATCATGTTAAAATGTGTGTACCTTTATAATAATTGCTTATAGAGAATAAGTCAGCTTGTTTTCTTATCTGTCCTAAAGCAATGGGCAGTAGCAAAGAACTTAAATAGCAGAAGAATGAGCTGCTCCGTGTATTTACATTAAAATCTTTGGAACATTTGCACTCCTGTGGTTGCAGTAAAATTTGAACATTTTACTAAGTGGAGAAACTAAAGGAAACAAGTGAACAAGAGCAGCGCCTTTATTATTTTTATATAGCGCCGTCGCGCGGTTGCAGTAAAATTGCTCTTCGTGTACCCACAATCCTTTTGAACGGATGTTCCACTATATTGGGAAGCTGCTCTATCTTCTGCTATTTATTATCTTTGGCAGTAGTAACATAGGAGGGAATTTAAATGCACAGAAACAAGCAATAATGCAGAGTGAACATGCAAAGGGAAAAAAATCATCACCCACTCAGAAATAATGTAGTTGCATTGAAGGTATTGTAAAATTGTATTCATCAATTTTGACTAATACAACAATGTACATGTTCGAAAGAGAGATTACAGGTACATTGTGTTAAACTTTCCTGAAAATGCATAACTAGAGGCTAACAATATTGATTTTTCTCTTGCAAAGGGTTTTTAGACTCTTTTTGTGTTTGATTGCATGTCTGTTTCTATCCTATTGCAATATGTTTTATATGCAAATGATATTTAATGATTCATTTAATATCTGAATCTTAATATTATCAGCATTAATATTATTCTGCTTCATACGTAGGCAGCCAGAGAACATGAATAATTATGTTAGAGCTGTGATTTTTTTTCTTCAGAACTGTCTGTGGGCTCAATACTTCATGAAAAGAATACTTAGGACTCTGACTTTATTGAAAGCCATGACATTGATCATAATGATACTCTGATATATTAGGATTTTATGTATTGGCTTTCTTATTATTGCAACCAGTGGCCTAATGTTATTATTCAACACAAATCCTTTAAATTCTGCTGCTATTATACAATACTGTTTATGATATTCCGATTTATGTGGTACTTCCCCCAGAAATACTTCAGGTGCTATAATTATCCTGGTCGTTAATAATGTACAGTAAAGATAATAATACAGCAATTATAATACGCCATCTATCAAGCATGCTATTCCAAGGCGCAATACATAAACAATCATGGGTATACAGCTACTTTAGCTCTGCCACCCTGGGGAATATTTCTAATCGTACATAAACAGTCACCATAGATTAAAAAAACATTTCTTCATTAAATGATTATATCTTCTCAATGCTCAATTAACTCTGGGTTAAGAGAGGATAAATGCTGATAAATTGCTTTGCTCAAGGAATATCCGATGTCACTAGTATTTTAATTGAATCCTAATATTTGAAGCCCAGAGCATTTTAAAGTTTACCACAAAACACCATTGAAATCCTGCAGATCTATTGAATGATGGATACAGCCTCTGTGAATCGGGCTCTCAAATCCCACCTTATCTCATTTGCATTGCTTGTGCAGAAACATCAATTATATGCAGTAATGAATACTCAATACATCTTTAGGTTGCAATCATCCAAGATTGAAGCTTAATAATATCGAACATTGCTTTACATATTTCTTGAAAAGAAAAACTCACTCCTGAGTAGCATGGTAATTATATCCTGGAATTGGTGGTAATATGGAATGTTGTGTAGTATGAGATGATGATTTTAATTGTCCTTTTAATGGAAAAATTATAGGTAACAATCAGCAAATGTTAGAATAATATTTAGTTGGGTGAGGACAATTTGAGGTACTGTAAACGTATGTAATTCATTAAAAACTTGGATCTGTGGCCTATGTGGTTCTGTTCAATTTTTATTTAATTGTTGAGGAGTTTGTCTTTATTTTAATGGGTGGCAGTATACCTATACCTCAAAATAATCATACAATAATTAGTTAATAAAAAATAATAATGATTATTTTTTTCTTCCTGCAGACATGGAGACAGTTGTGGAGAGTGTTAGAGATGTCAGACGTAATTCTTCTTATAGCTGATGTTCGTCACCCGGCTCTGCATTTCTCTCCGGTACTTTACGATTATGTTGTCAAGGAATTGAAGAAGCATCTTATATTAGTTTTGAACAAAATTGATCTAGCGCCACCATCGTTAGTGGTTGCTTGGCGGTCATACTTCCGTGAGAAGTATCCTTGCCTTCATGTTATCTGCTTCACATCATTCCCAAAGGAAAACTTCAGCTCTAATATTGATCCTGGAAAAGGTGAACTTAATTATTATTATGGTTACTGTGAAACAGATACAAATATTTTAACTTAACATATGTGGCTAAGACAAGCCAAACCATTCACTCCTAACAAATTGTGTTTCGAGATAATGGCCAAAACATGCTGGAATGTCAACATTTTTGAAATCCTATGTTATTTGCACTAAACTGACCTTTAAATGTCTATACATCATGTTGTTATTTTCCCCATTTTCAATGTTAAAACAACAATTTTTAATGATTTGGTGTTGGTTTCTGCCTGAGATATGACTGTATGTTTCAACTCCTGTAACTTCATAAACGCAATGTCAGATTTAAATGATTCTTCTACCACATTATAACTCTCATTTTTTGTTTATCCCTGTATTATTATTAACTAAAAATTAATTTTTTGCGAGGAGTGACTGGTTTGGCTTTACTGCTACGAATGTTTCCGTCAGTGAAACAGGGTTTAGGGAAAACCTAAAAAAGTAATGGCATTTGCAAACAGTTTTCTATGTCTAGTAGAATGTTGAAAGTATAAAATCTTGAAATTTAAAAAATGGAATATTATGAATATACTGTATGAGTAGTAAAAGTGTATTATCTCCATTTGATTTTGTGTATTAAGATTTATTGATTTTTTTCTTCATTTATATACACAATTTTTATAAAAGTGGGGTTTTTTATTTCGGGTTTTTTATTTCAGTTTTACATCGGAAACGGCGACGAGGGGCTTTCAGTGCCGTAGGTCCAATGGATCTACTCAGAGCTTGTGAATCAATCTGTAAGGATAAAGGTAAGCCTATCAAGCAATGAATTTGGGAAGAAAAGGAAGGAGAAGGGAGGGGTGGGGGTGGTGCTCTAGTAATAGACTTTAAGTGTGTAGGAGTAGTAAGTCTTCTCAGAACTTGTATATCAATCTATACAAAATAATATTAATAAGGTCATAAACTTTCCACAGTGGGTTTAAGGGAGTCAAGCTGGGCATAAAAGATGTTATAGCAAGTTGAGTCCGTCCAGGACAGTCAATACATATGATAATGGATATCTGGTGTAAGGTATTATGAGGCTGAATAAAGCAAAATACTAAGGGAGCAGTTCTGTATAAGTACTTATACAGCTCCTTTGCCTGTATGGTTTGCGTGAACGAAAGTCCTTATGACAGTTTCCCCACTGCCTAAGAGCCGTGTACAGTATCATCGGGTGGAAGATAATTTGTGATTTTGGATTAAGGGAAGTTCTCATGACAGGTTCCCCAATGTCTGCCCTTATATGTGGGATAACCAGACTCCTAATAATGTTTTTCACAATCTAAGAACTACTTATCCTACAGATCAATGAGAGATGTTTAATCTGTAGTTGCACCGACTTTAGCCACATACAGTATTCTGAGTTTAGTTGATTCCTTGCTTGTATTGCGTTCTATTGGGAAATAATGCATATAAATTAGACATTATTGCTGCTATTATGCTGTTGCTGATATTCATCACAAATCATCCTTAGGCAGTCTCAAATATATAGTGAGCTGCTGGTGTTTTATTAATACTGTAATCAATTTATATGTTGTTGATCAAAGCTTTTTATTACCAGCCAAAATGCAGGGAACGATTGTTGGTAAATCATGAACCGTATAAGCTCAGTAGTACAGTACAGGTACTAGGAATGCATTTTAATAAATTCATAACCTTTAACACATCTACTACTATGTTTTGTATATTTAATTCATATTCATTTTTTCCCTAGTTGATTTAAGTAGTTGGAGAAGTAAGATAGAAGCAGAGGTCCGCGGCGATGAGATTATAAACTGTCATCCGTGTCTAGAGGATATTATTCATGAGCTATCCCTTTATACAGAGCATCAGATCTTCAATGATGGCGTCTTAACAATTGGCTGTGTTGGTGAGTTGCTAGAGTTGTGATTGGCTGGAAGTTACAGCAGGAGAAAGGGTTTAGTGGAGTAACAAATCGTAGGAAAGTGTCATGAAATAGACAAGAGGAAGCAAAAAAAGACAGGGAAGACCAAGAAACACCTGATGGAGACAAGACAGGAAGAAAAAAAATAATGAAAGAATTGCGAAAATCATTTCGGGGGAAAATGGTTGAAGGGGGATGTGTATAAGCTTATATGCTTAATATGCCTAATTTTTAAGAGACTTACGTCAAAATAAGTAATTGTGTGATTACAAGAATGACAGACACACCTACATCCCACAATTTTAATGACCTATTTAATATTTGCTAAAATTATATCTGAATGTTGTTTACTGAAGTCTTTACTTTTTGTCCACATCAGGTCATCCTAATGTTGGTAAATCATCCCTTATGAATGGTCTCGTAGGCCGGAAAGTCGTCAGTACTTCAAAGACACCTGGTCACACAAAACACTTTCAAACAATCTTCCTTACACCGACGGTAAAACTTTGTGACTGTCCTGGTTTAGTTTTCCCTTCAGTAGTTGACAAGTCATTACAGGTTAGTTGGCACTACATTGAGATTATTTTATTTTTTTTTATTATTGCATATTCCAAGAATGTAAAGAACGTTTTGCACAGCGTTTACAATTCAGATTTCACTTTACAATTTTTGGTCGCCTTATACACTTAAACCATTATTACTCTCTCTCCAACACGGAGTATTAGTGGGTACTTGATAGGATCACTTTAACCCAGCTATTTCTTCTTTGTAGATTCTGTCCGGTATTTATCCCATAGCCCAGGTACAGATGCCTTACACTGCTGTAGGATACTTAGCAGAAAGGATTCCAGTCGTAAACATCTTGAAGATTAGCCATCCCAGCGATGATGCCTCCTCCGAGAGTGCCTCTAGCAGCCAGTGGTCTGCCTGGGATATCTGTGAAGGTAAGTATTTTTATAGCTCTGGTTTCTGCTACGAAGCCTAGATGATGGTGAATGCATTTCCCCTTTGGCATCCAACAGCATGTACCGTAAAGTCGAGTTTACGAATGGACTTTGCCCCTGATGACGTCATCATCGATCAGTTATTACTGTAAAAAAAGTATGATTGCACACGTTTTACAAAGTAATAATGTATGTTTTTCTTAAAATCAAGTTTGTTGTATTTATATATTAATAGTTAGATCTTTTCTTCCATTTCTGGTACAGTCGACTCCGCCTAAGTCGAATCTAATGGGACTGGCATAAAAAGATCGAGTTATACAGATTTCGACTTGAAAATTTTTGAAAAAAAAAAAAATTAACATAGAACAATACTATGTGTACTTAATGCCCACAAAATCGAATTTCACGCAAAACCGAACATTCCCAAAATCATTCCTATTCTTCTTTTAATAAAATACTTTCCTGAAAAGATGAACTCCCTATTCCGAATCTCGGACGATTTGTCCAATTCAGGATGGTAACACTCACTGGAAAAACCAGACGATAGTTAAATAGACATTGTTTATTCGGCAAGCATACCACACGCTGTGAAAACGAGACGCTGTGAAAATTATGAAGTAAAATTCAGGTACGCATTCCAATGTTCTAATTAGTGTATATTCTTTGCTTTTAATCCTTATAAACCAGTTGGAATCAACCTGAAATAAAGACGGAACTCGACAAAGCAAGTTCCTACCGGTTACTCTTTTTTCATCAGTGTAAATTGCAAATGCACCTCAAGATGCTATTGAAAACATTACGGAGGAAATTTGTAGAGAATAAAATCTAATTTGTTAGGTTTATTTAGATTTGACCTCTAAAATAAAACCATGAGGGTTTCTTATTTGTTTTTTGCTTTGTTTTATAAATTTGTTTAACAAAACATTCTTGATTACACCGAACTTGTTTACTGTCACGCACTATGAAACTTTGGGCGATCTGACGTCATCATAGCCGAAGCACATGTCTAGTGCAAAACACCCCACGAAAATGGACCAATTGGCGGGCAGGCAGAGTTTTTTGGGGGTGCGACCTATTCTGTTTACAACTAGACTGCCGACCAGCAAGTGGCATTGCCCAACGAAGAATGTGTGCTTGGAAAAATATAATTAGACCTAAAGAAATGCACGCAAAAACAATATAAAAATCGCATCAATTTTATTGGTAATAATTAAATTTGCTGAGCAGTACAGCAAAACAACAGGTACTGTACGTATTATTAAATAATGTGTTGAACTTGTGTAGCCTAGGCTAGGCCTAGTCAAAAGAATCCAGGGCTTTGATAAATTAATTAAATAGCTAGGCCCAGACTACAACAATCTTGTTCAAAATGGGTTCAATACAAGTTCTATAAACTGAACTGGACGACAAACTGAACATTGGAGCAGTCCGGAGGGGTGTCTGTATTGTGAGAGTAGACTGCAACTTACGACATACAATCGTGTGAGCCAAGTTCCACATCGCGCTGTCTGAGATGTTAGTTTTGACTTGGCTAACTTGTTGCCGTTCAACAAGGATTGAACTTTGTATTTTCCCACGGCTGTGTATTTTCCCATGTGCGCTACAAAATTTGGAACTTCGACTTGTGTGGTTGAAATTACTTTAAAATCGGCCTATCCAGACCGGAAAATTCCGTCGATATAGCCGAAATTCAAATTATGAAAATTCGAATTAAACAAACAATTTACACAGTAATACATAAGAAAGAATTGGGACTTTTTGAAAAATTCGACTGACGCGAATTTTGACTTTTTTTTTTCTAGTAAACACTTTTTCATTTAGTGTTATAATTATGTTATAATATTTTTATAAAATCCTAATCACCGCCTCATTTTGTCTCTACTCTTTAGCCTGGGCAGAAAAGCGAGGTTTTGTGACAGCCAAGGCAGGCCGCAATGATACTTATAGAGCTGCAAATAATATTCTCAGACTGGCTGTAGAAGGCAGGCTTTGCATGTGCATGAGACCACCAGAATATACAAAATCAAAATGTAAGTCAGTATTGTACATAACTCAATAAGCACCACAAAACTTAATCGAGAGAGGTGCTAATGTTACAAAACATAGTAGTTGTTTAATAGGTACCTAGTATTATACATTATTATGGCCTATCTCATTTGTTGTAATGCTAATTAATAATCCATACATACAACACATATTTTTATCTCTAATAAAATTTGCAGCACGTATTAGAGATCAGTGGTTAGAGGAAAACAAATGTTTAGCGTGGCACTTATTTGAGAGAGGCAATCATTGCACCACTTGCATTATCTATCCTATCAGGTTGTGTTCTGGACACAGCTATGTTCAGATACAGATTTGGATGTGTATAAGAGAGCCATATGAAATTATTTCATCTGATGAAAATATTTCTAATGTTCAGTAAATGTATTTAGATGTTGGAGTCACTATGCTGCTTTGCATCAAATCAAATATAAACTGCTCAATGGGCAAAACATAAGAATAATGAATTATAATGATATAATCTATTTGTATATATTTCTTACTATTTGCTTATTTTCTTGTACTTAAAACACATTTATTATTGTTTCTTATTAAATACTATTTATTTAATTCCTCCTCTTTCAGCAATTTGGGAAAACCATCCTGAAACCAAGGAAATAGCACAATTACAGGCACAGCACAAGAAACTTCAAGAACAGAGTCGAATTCCTTGCTCAGATTTTACAAGCTCAGAAAACGACAGCGATGCAGATGTTGAGAGCAATGACCTTGAAAGAGAATCTGACCCTCTGAGAGAGGACGATGAAGATGATGAGGATGAGAGGAGGACTAAGGTTAAAGATACACTGCCACTGAAGACAAACAATGCATTTTCATTGTTAACAATGAATGGTGGAGACAATGAAGATGAACTGAGATAGGATTTGGTAATGAAAGTTTGATAGGTGATTTATAGGTGTGGAAAATGAGGAAAAACACATCGTTGCTGATGAGAATAATGTTACGAGCCCCGACCTTGGACGGTATTGCCTGTTAGAAGCAAAGACAAATTTTTGAGCCCAGCCGTTGAGCCTAGCCATTGGGCTATCTGCTGAGCCTAACTGTTGGGCCTAGCTTTTAAACCTTGCCACTGAGCATAGTCATTGAACCTATCAGTTGAGCATTGAATTTGAAGCCAGGAAAAGTCAAGTGCTTTTGTGAAATCCTTAGTAGAAGCAGTTTGGAGGAAGTGATCGAAATGTGACATTGGTTCATTTGTTAAATCACGTTTACGTTGATTGAATATAACCAGAATTTTTTTAGATCATACATAAATTGATTATTTTAAAATGGACTCTAAATGATCTAAATATATAATTTTTTTATCTTTATATTTTTATTATTTATCTTCAATTTATTATTATAACTTTTATGTTCTTTTATCAATTTTTTTGAGAAATGACAAAAAGTTGATTTTGATGGTAACAGTTAATTGCTACAGGCAATTACAGGCATGAGGAATTAAATTTAACAATATTTTTATCATTTTTTATGATATTATTTCTATTTTTATTACAGGTTTTATTATTGTTTAAGATACATTTATTGTTATTTTTGTTATTATTCATGTTATTAATAATATTATTTTATTTATTTTATTATTATTATTATTTTTTTGTTATTGAAATCATGGAATTGATATACCATCCGTAGAATGTAGCAAGTTTTAAAAGCAAATATTGTTAACATTGTTACAGTATAATTATCAGATGCACTCTCAATGTTTATATTGTTTGAATCTTGAAATCTTAAATCTTGGAAGATTTACATTGGGCACCTTGACACACTGACCATTCTGCCATTTGCCTGCAGTGTTTTAGCACATTGGCCAACACATGCCTACTAGCCTATCACCATGCCTACCGGCCTTCTTGCACTTGCACATATACAAATATACAGTACGCCTAGGCCCTACCTAGATTTTCAAGTTTATCTATGCTATTTCTTAACTCTAGCAAATTAACAAAGCATTGTTTATGTTCATAGTTGATTAAGGAGGACTAGTACTATCCATTAGATAATGGAATGATTCATGTCCATATTTGGAATATGATTTATTAAGGCAATGTAAATGTTTAATAAATCACAATTTGGTCCAAAAAGCAAGTATAATGGTGAGAAGGGGCACATGGTCAATCTTCTGAAAGCAATAGCCTTAAGTCCTGTCCCGACTATCTAATTTTTATTTGACAAAAACATGTGACAGTGACATGCCTAAATATGGTCATGATGACGTCACATCATGACCATATATAGGCACAGCATGACTATATATGGGCATACAGCAGGTTTTTTTTTTTTGTGAACAGAGCTTAAGAACTACAAACGGCATGATATAAATATTATTAATATTACCCATAAACCTTTAGTATATAAATATGTGATTTGATCGGAGATGTTTAAAGTTTTTATCAAGAATGATTTATGTCTTTTCATTTCTATCCCCCCCCCCCACAAAATGTTGTTGAATTCAGGAAAGTTAAAAAATATATGCAAACATGAAATATTGTTGAATTACAAGATTCTGATTAGTAGTGTTTTACCATTCTTATTTTGCTAAACAAATTGGAGCATGTCATCAGGGCCATTTGTCAAAATCATTGAAGTGTGCGTGGCTGATCAGGTAGTGTTTAAACACTCTTAGTACTGTATTGCTAAGCCAATTTGAACATTAGAGCCATGTAACAACAAAAATGTGTCACAAGAATCTGATCAGACTTTTTTCTCTTGTGGTATGACAACTAAAACTTATTCATCAATGCATCAATTCCATTACAGTAGATTACAATACAGTTATACTGCATTCCTTCTGTACTATTTCACTTTTTTTTTTCTTTTCCTTTTTTACACTCATTGATTCTCATATAGAAAATAGAATATAGAAAATGCAATTATATAACTATTAAAATCTTAACAGTTTTTCACTCAAATATTTTATATAAAATTCTTTTTCAAGTAAAATGATACAGGCCTATATTTATTCACAGAGAATCTGATGAGAAAGCAGCTTAAACATTCTTAATATAAAGCCAATTGAAGCATGTACCGTAATTGAGAGATTGAGTGTTGGAATCAGAGTCAGAATATCTTTAAGATCAATTAACAATGTTAGGGTATGGGAATAGTGTTTCAGCGCATACATTTTTTTAAAAACCAAATAAGATTCTTCTTTATATTATATATGTTTTTGTTTTTTTTTTATTATAAAAAAGTTGGTGTTGCCATTTTACCTATTTTTTTGTTATTGTCATTTTCTTGTTGGCCTGTTTTTTCTAAAGGATAAATATTGTTTTGATAGTAAAATTTGTATTTTTGATCTGTATTTTCTAACTTTTATTATTGTCAATATTATTTTAATTATTACTTTTTGTTAATACAGGTCTCCCTTCAATTAAAGACCACTTTTGGGTCCACCTTTTCTATGGTCTTTAGTAGCTTCGGTCTCTAATTAGAATAATATAGATAAAAGACGATTGTTCATTTGGGACCACAGAAAGGTGGTTTTTCATTAGGAGGGTTTATAATTAGGGGGTGACATGTATTTATTATTTTTAGTTGAAATGATGTTATTATTCTTTCAGTCTGTCTGCAATTATGTATTCAATGATGATGATGCCCAAGATTATTTTTAAGTTGTTACTTAGTCCATGGTAACATCTCAGTAGGTAGCTAGCCTATGAAGCTAAAAGCACACATTGATACTAATTTATTTTAGACAAATGTTGAATTGTGAGTTTTAAACATATTATCTTTATATTAGTACGGTAATTATTAATTATATTCCTTGATAAAACATGGTATGTTGGCATCTTTATGCAGATTTGACACAATTTAATCATCTATATTTGGCTCAGCTGTATATGTTATAATGTATTGCATATTCAAAATGAATAAAAGATTAAATTATATTGGTAATACATATTTTTTGTTGAATTACATATCAGTTCATAATGTGTGTAATATTGGGAATTATTTATTATAATAATATCTAATTCACTCTCTGTAGACTGACTGGGTATTCCACTTTAATATGCAACCTGACCATTTCACAAAGCTTAGGTACAAACTGTTCCAATTTAGGAAAAGTCGTCACCCGCCTGTGTATACTGTATCTCTGTGGTAACACCTTCAAAAAGGCTTAAACCTTCTACAGATTAACACAGTAAACGATTTAAAATTTATTCCTAGCTTTGTGTAAAATTCCAAATGTCACGCTTACGAAGAACTCATGATGGCCTTCCTTTAGCTATTGGAGGAGACACTCGTCATAATTCCACTAATTTTTGTGCTACTTCTGACCATTTTGTAGCAATGTTTATGAAGACGTCTCTGACTTTTAATACTAAGACCAGGAAGTTCAGTTCCATATACAGTAGTAGGAATATCCTATTCTCAGATTTGTATAAAATTTCCAAACGCTAATTTTAGAATGTCTTCGGTTTAGCGTATCGAATGTGAGGTCAGCTGTGGTACATACGGAGTCAACACAGTAACAAAGCCATAAGCAATGGCAACAGGATATCTCATTGTTATTCAAAATGTGGGCATAAGTCTACGGTTCGTTCGTTATACGTTCGCCATTGAAGAGGTATTCACAATTTTTCGGAGAAATGTAGTACATATCGACAATGAAATGAATTTTCAGTGAGCAAAATACAAGAAGTAATCAGAGCATATATGTGAGTAGGCATATCTTGCATGGAATGGTTTGTGGCAGATTTGATTTTCAGCCATTATGATATAGATTGAATGTGAATTTTGGGTGTGGTTTCAACTAACAGACAACAGGTTTTTGACATTTTTATAGAGCTCATACTTATATCAAAGTGTTGAAACTAACAAAACAGTAATAACCAGTATTTTGTCAGCTCCAGAATCAGATACTCTAGCTA